AGCCGTGAGAGGGATGCTGCAGGCAGGTGGCCGGTGGCAGGTGGCGATGAGCCCTGAGCCACCCTCGGCCTCTGCCCGGCCCCGGCCCCCACAGATATCGATGAGTGTCTGCAGCTGCCCAGGCCCTGCGCCCACCAGTGCCACAACCTCCAGGGTGGCTATCGCTGCCTGTGCCCACCAGGCCAGACCCTCCTCCGTGACGGCAAGGCCTGCACCCCGCTGAGGCGGAGTGCACAGAACGTGACCACCACCAGGCACCAGGGCCCCTTTGTGTCCTGGCTTCGGCCCCGGGCCCCCACCCCTGGCAGCTCCTACCACGCCTGGGTCTCACTCCGGCCAGGGTCCGGAGCCTCAAGCAGTGTAGGCCGGGCCTGGTGTCCCCCTGGCTTCATCAAGCAGAATGGCGTCTGCACAGGTAAGGCCAGGCCCCAGCCATCTCGCAGGGACACTAAGACTTCTGTGTGGTCCCAGGCCCCTAAGCGGGACCATAGGCAGCACCCCTCGAGCTCAGAAGCCCAGGGCAAGTGGAGTAGGTGCCCCGGCAGGTGGCTGTTTCCTCCAGGCAAGGCACCTTGGGGCACTGGCTGTGTGGAGAGGCCAGGGACTTCTAGAGAGAATGGAGAAGTGGCCAAAGCACTTGGCTTCTGGACACTTCACCTAGAGCGGTGACTTCTGGACAAACATCCCCAGGACCTCACGCTGGGAAACTCCTCTTGGTGCTCAGAGTAAAGCAGTCAAGGAGGGGGGCTTTCAGGAGCAAAGGAGAATGCTCCAGGCAGACCTGAGGACAGTAAGGGAACATTGTCACATGTTCCCCTGGCGGTACCAAGGACACAGTCAGGGATACCCACAGGCCCTGAGGAGGCTGGCAGAGAGGGGCAAGAGGGAGGTGGTCTCCCCGAAGGCTGGGTAGAGGGTCTGCGGTGTGAGTGGGGCCCTGCCCGAGTCTTGGTGAGTACAGGGTGGGGCAGGGTGGGGCTCCTCAGAGACACCCCCAAGCCCTGAATCTGGGGTGGTACCGGAAGGGCAGGCAGGGAGGGGGTGTGGCCACCGCAGGCCAGGGCCTTCCCCAGCCCGCCTCAGAGCGTGGCAGGCAGGGAGGGGGGCCCG